TGCCCTATAGTAAAAACCTCTCCAAAAAAAGAAAAAAGAAAAAAATATATTGGGTTGTCAGAAAAGTCATGACATAGTCTGGTTTTCTACACAAAACTGTGTCATGACTTGTCCAGCGACCCAATAAAAAAAGGATTGTGTGAAAAGTTCCTGCATCAGGACCAGCAGTTAGTGTAATGGCTATGTCACTGGACTCCCATGTAGTCGACCGCGGTTTGCATCCTGGACCCAGTGACTTAAAACTTGGGTGCGTGCCCAAGATCCCGAGAGGAGAATGGAGGAGAAGGGATAGCGGCGTGGCCATCCCCCAGGGGGGTGATTTCTTGCTTTCTGTCTCTCTGTCTCTCTCTGTCTGGCAAGCACACGCGCCCTATAGCAAAAACCTCTCCAAAAAAAAAAAAGTTCCTGCATCTAATTAAGCACCATTTAAATTTGCATTTGCCTAAAGGGAATTTCTGATACTTTTTTTTTTTTTTTTTGGAATGGGTTTTCAAAATATTTACTGTTTAAAATAATTGTTCTAGCCTAACTGTATGCCTTCAGGTTAATGTTTCATTCTTGTTTCCCTTCCCTTTCTCACCTGCTAATTTGACAGCTTCTGCTGGACATGGTGGGATCCCCAGACCAGGACCTTCAGGAAGCTGCAGCCGGATGTATATCCAACATCCGCAGGCTGGCACTGGCTACAGAAAAGGCAAGATACACTTGACATTGGAACAGACATGACCAGCCACCAAAGTTTACACAGGACATGTTACTCCCGTGGCCAGGAAGCCTAAATTGGGAAATGCCATGTAATGAAGTGTACAGGCAGTAAGCTGGTGGTAATTTTCCCAGAATTTGAGAATATATGTTTACAGTCTAGATGTATATTTCAATGAGGCTTTTGTTATTTGTGGTGACTTAATAAAGGACATGGCCTTCCCGGTGTGCAGCTTCATAGTTGTTCCCGAATGTCTTTAGAATGCCCTTTCTGTTAAATCTATCTAACGGTCCTGTCATGATGGCTTTGTCTGTTTGATCACTTGCAGCCCACGGGAGAGTTCTGGGGAGATGTGCTGATTTCACAAACTGTTACTAAATAGAATTTAGAGTTCAACAGCTGGATTTAGAGGGATCATCCTGAGGTCATCCTAAATTTCTTCTAAATACTATCGAACATCTGAAAAGATCATGTGTAACTGTCCCAGTGCCAGACCAAGCAAATCGTAAGGGTATAAGCAGTGAGGTTTATTTTAACTCTTCGACCTGCAGAATATCAACAGTCCTATGCTCTGTTTCCCTCACAGGCATTCAGGAACACTTTTATTGAAAGAATTAATTTATGCTGATATACTGTGTGCTGCTGTTACTTCACATAAAATCGCTTTGAATTTCTGAACTTGTTTTCGGTGTGTGAAGTACTTTTTTAAAAGTGGCTATGAAAGATAAATAGCATTTACCAGGTTATAGAAACGTTAGAAGCCTTGTAGAATCACATATGTAACTTCAGTGTGCTGAGATGTTTGGGAACTAACTGTTCTGAGCATCTAATATTAGTCAGAAGGTACCTTGTACGCATCAGCTCAGTAAACTGACACTCTTGGTTAATGCTTTAATGAGAAGGCAAGGAGATTTTATTGAAAAGTAGTAGATGCCGTATATATTTGTGACAACGTGGAGATCGTAAACTTGAGTTTAATGTAAATAATTTGTATGAAATGAAAAGTCTGTGTAGGATGAAAATTATACCAGTGATAGATGTTCTGATAAAAAGCGGGAACCAGCAGTTAGTGTAATGGCTATGTCGCTGGACTCCCACGTAGTCTACTGCGGTTCGCCTCCCGGACCCGGTAGCTTAAAACTCACACGCTGAGCGCGTGTGCGTGTGTGCCCCAGATCTTGAGCACAGACCCAAGATCTTGAGAAGAGAATGGAGGAGAAGGGATTGCGGCGTGACCATTCCCCCTGGGGGGTGATTTCTCGCTTTCTTTCTCTATATCTCTCTCTGTCTCTCTGGCGAGCCCACGCGCCCTATAGTGAAAATCTCTCCAAAAAAAAAAAAAAGATAAGACACTTTTTTTGAGAGGTTTTTGCTGTAGGGTGCATGTGCTCACCAGAAAGACAGAGAGAGACAGAGAGACAGAAAGTGAGAAATCACCCCCTGGGAGGGGATGGCTGCGCCACAGTCCCTTCTCTCCCACTCTCCTCTTGGGATCCTGGGCACATGAGTTTAAGCCACCAGATCCGGGACTCGAACCACAGTTGACTACATGGCAGTTCAGCAACATAGCCATTATGCCAGCTGCTGGTCCCGACACTTCTGAGAATTTTAAGGTTCTATAAAATGCCAGTTCATCCTTAGTACTTTTCGAAGAAGGTTATAAAAGAGGATAATATGAACAAAGAAATGGTTTTAATGCTAGAAATTGAATTTAAATAATTGAATACATTCTCTGACTTTTGATGGCAGACATTTCTAATATTAAAGTATTAGTACCAATTAGCTTGGTTTTACTAGTATTAAAAGCACATCTAGAAACTATGGATTATGACAACTACATATGAATAAACATAATTATTGTTGTATTATCATTAAAGGAAGCTTCTACCATTGTCCTCAGATTTTAAAATATTTTTGAATTAGTGGGTCCTGGGACTAAAGGAACACAACAGGCAAAGCAAGAGCAACATCAAAACCTTGTGAATATTGGAGGAGGGAGATTACTTTTTACAATGTACTTGATAAAGAGAAAGTGGGAGAGGGCCAGCAGGTGGCGTAGTGGTTAAGGCGCTGAACTCCCATGTGGTCAACTACAGTTCAAGTTTTGGACCCAGCAGCTTGAAACTCACGCCACGTCTGTGGGGGGTATGTGCTCAACATCCTGAAAGGAGAATAGAGAAGAAGGGACTGTGATGTGGCCATTCCCCCAGGGGTGATTTCTCACTTTCTGCCTCTCAGTCTCTCTGGCAAGTACACCTGCCCTATAACAAAAATCACTCAAGGAAAAAAGAAAGAAACTATGGGCTTCTGTTTTGATAGTTAATAAATGCATCCAATAAAAGCAACAATGCCGTTATATTTTTTGTAGTTTATTTACTTATTCCTTCCATGAGACAGAGAGAGAGAGAGTCAGTTCCAACAGGATGGATTTTTAAGCCTTGATCCACCCCCAGTCTCAGCTAGTCTGGATCACAGCCTGGCATGTGCTCACCCAGTGTGCTCAGGGCAGTCTCCCGACGTGAACCTGGACCTCTTCAGTTGTGTTAGCACTGCACCACCTCCTGGCCTGGCAACAGTGCCATTTTAAAAGAAACTAAGCACCTGGAAACACAGAGAAAATTAACATAAAGATTGTCTTGCATAAACCTTTCCAAGTAATAATTTTTTAAAATAATTCTGAAACACTAGAAATATAGTACCTTTAGAGTAAACAAATTAAAAGTTGAAATGGCATAACAGAAAACTGATATCAGTAGAAATAATGCTCAGAAAACTTTTGTATGGATGATGGCAACCATATCGTAAGCTGTAAGAACACTGTAATTTTTTTTCCTTTAATTTTGTGAGGTTTTTGTTGTTATGTTTATTTTGTGTTCTTTAAGGCTGATGAACTTAATTCTGTGTAAGTTTTCAGTGACTGATTTCTTTTTCAATTAGCAATAATCGCGCCTCCGATAAACCTCATTGGCTACGATACTGCCACTGCGCAAAGCTACTGATTTCTTTTTTAAGCTGTGTTTTTGCCCAGGAACTCAGAGAATACAATCTACTCTCTTCAGTAAAGGATGGCTGTTTCAATTTGAAAAGGGTTTAAGGTGGAGGAATTGTAAAGTGACGGTCTTTGATCTTCCAGTCTCTTTAGTTTGTAAGGCTTCTTTTTAGGAATCCTTGCCATGACACTAATGCTGTTCACAGTCAATGTTCTTTTGCTACTATCAGGATGACTTAAACTAAAACAAACTTGTTTCTTTTTAAAATGTCTGTAGCTTCTGAAGATGAAGTTTAGTTTTCTTAGGCCCTGGCATTGTGAATCCCGCCACTTTGATGGGTTATGGTGTTGTCATTGTATGTTCTAAGACTTTATCATGGAAAGGAGACCTTGATTCCAAATATTTAGAAAATGTATTTCCATGTAGAAAAATGAGCATCTCGGTTTTTGAAAAACAACCAACCAATGGAATAAATCCTTTTATTTTACCTAATAGGGTTAGGTTAATAAGACAATGCCCCAGTCTAAATAATTTAAGATGTTTAAACTCAGTTCATAAAGATTTAGAAATGGAATAGACAATGTCCATTCCTGTGATTCAGTAAAAACAATAAAGTCATTTATTTAAGAGCCTCACTACCTCAGATCTATTAAAGGCCTCCCCCCCAAAAAAGGTTCATGTGCTCTGAAGTGTAGAAAGTGGAACTCTCCTAATTCAGAATGGTATGGAAAGGGAACCAAATTTTGCATGATGCTACAGTATTACAAGCACCTTATTAGGTACTTTGTACCAGTGATCTCTTCAGATGTGTTAGAATTGATTAACTAGACACTCTGGTATCTTACTAGGATCTATTTAAAGGTGTACAATCATTCTTCAAGGGTAATTTGGAAATGCATACAAAAAAACTTTATAATTGTGTGTGCCCTATTGAATTATGTCCAAGGATTTATCTACAGTGGTGTTCACCACACCATTGTTTATATCGATAATAAAAGTTAAGAAAATGTTCATTAATTCAATTACAATTCAACCACACAATGAAAACATGTTGTGGAATAGTAATGACATGGAAAGTTATCATACTGCAGTGATAACTCACGAGGCAGGCTCTAAGGCAGTACCCGGGATGTGAGCACATTCTAGAGTACGTGCCCATAGCTAGATGTCATGATGAAAGATGGACCTGCCTTACATATACCAGATTGTAAGCAAGTAATTATTCCTGAATGGCAGAATACGAATGGTTTTTGTCTCCCTTCTGCTCATCTGTTTTCTAATCTGCTTCACAATGAACATGAATTATTGGGTCATTGGGAAAGTCATGATGCATTTTTGCATAGGAAAACAGAAAAATATGTCATGACTTTTCTGAGGATCCAATACTTCTTTAAAAAATAAAAGCATTCCCAAACAATTTTACTTTTTATCATTTAAAAACTTTTTAGGAAGACAGTTCTTCCTGCTTCCAAATACTGGCTTTGAAAGAAAGACTCTGTTTATAAAGGGAATACATAAAACACACATAAAATGGTTTTTTTTTTTTTTTGGAGAGATTTTCACTGTCGGGCGCGTGCGCTCGCCAGACAGACAGAGAGAGACATAGAGACAGAAAGCGAGAAATCACCCCCCAGGGGGGATGGTCACGCCGCAATCCCTTCTCCTCCATTCTCCTCTCGGGATCTTGGGCACGCACACACACGCGCCCGGCGTGAGTTTTAAGCCGCCGGGTCTGGGACACGAACCGCGGTCGACTACGTGGGAGTCCAGCGACATAGCCATTATGCTAACTGCTGGTTCCCATAAAATGGTTTTTTTGAAAACATGGAAAAAGTTGCTTCATCATCTAAAATATCATAAGAATATTTGTAATCTACAAAATATACATTTGTAATAGTTTTAAACTAAAACTATGCATAATATACTATAATTTAAACAAATTAGAGAGCTCCATATGAAAATTCTAACTTGTCCTTATTATATATTCTTTTCTTTTTTCTCTTTAGGTTTTTGCAATATGGCGTGTACATTCGCCAGAGAGAGACAGAGGAGAGAGGGAAAGTGAGAAATAACCCCCCTCCCCCAGGGAGAGGACCATGCCACAGTCTCTTCTCCTCCATTATTTTCTTGGGATTTGGGGCATGAACGCATTTGAACACAGCATGATTTTCAAGCCACCAGGTCCAGGACTCCAACCTTACAGTGGGCCATTTGAGATCCAGCGCCTTACCCTCCAGACACCAGCTGGCCCTCCTTATTCACT